CAAAATATCTTTCCCCAGAAACAACAAGAGCAGCAAGGCAAAGAGAACGCAGACCGCTCGATGCAGTACAAAAAGCCTTCCAAACTACCCGCACCTGCTTCTCATAAGAAACCCTTAGTGGACCGCAACGCGACGCGCGACTGACGCAACTTGTGAGTTTGTGTACTTCATGTATTTTCGTTTCTATAGCAATGATTTATATTTCATACACGCTGTGCCCGCGACTTCGTACGTGTGATTAAATTTTCTAATTTTCCGCGCAAATTTTTTATATCTTTCTTTTATAAAAACCTTCCCCTGACAAATAAATAAACTCCCTGGTTTTCCTAAATAAATAAACAAACAACAGAAAAGAATTAGCAAAATCGGTCCAGCTGTTAACGCGTGATGCCGTGACCAATAAAAATAGGGATACATTTTTTATCATCCATTAATATTTCTTTAGGCAACAATAGCCCAGCGGTGTTATAGGTATAGTTCTCAGCTCAGTCAGTACCTAAGGTATAGTTCCAAAATACTGAACTGTCCTATCCATGACATTGACAGTGGGGCGCCACCGTCAATACCGGATCGCTGGTTCTGATTTTTGCCATATTGGAAACCATAATAGTTGAACGATGGTAGCGCCCCCCTGTCATTGAGTTTGGTGGGACAGTTTAGCGTGGGTCATCTATATAGGAGCGGCGCGGGACGGATGACATTGACAAATTATGACGTGACAGAGCATAAAAATCTGAAAGAGATCTGAGGTGGAATTGTGTAAAGCAATCGCAATCATTTCACAGTTCAGAACGTACGATAAAGTCAGTTAAACAAAGCGTTTGACAGAAGAATCGTACGTTATGAACTGTCAAATGATAACGACTTTACACAATTCCACCTCAGATGTCGTTCGTTGATGTTTGGGTTATAAAAACATCCTTCCTGCTGCTCCCATACCTTAGGGACTGAGTTAGGCTGGTTTTAGAGTCACGCTGACCGTCAGCGCTGACAGCCGAAATGTATGAAGCGTCGGCGCCGAGCGATCAGCGTCACTCAGGAACGTTCCCTTCAATTACATACATATTGATCTGTCAGCGCCGACGATCAGCGAGCGGTCAGCGTGATTCTAAAACCCGCCTTAAGCGTTAGACTATGCCGGCCGAATCGTAGTAATTTGAAACGACTTAAAAGTCCAATCATCTCCTTTGTATTTATTTGAAGCGGTGCTTCAAAAGTTGACAACAGAATTTGTATATTCGACGCAGTTATCTTATGTGAAAGTTTATGGGATAAATGAATGGGTTTACTGAACGGATTTTGATAAAACTTTACGTAGTTAGAGTAGTATTATAGTCATAATAATTGATAACTAATTTAATCGAGTTAATTGGCTAAATTAAACTATAGGTCGAACTTTTTTTGACAGGCATGGTATGTCATGCAGGCGAATCGTAGCTACATAAGAATATTCGTAACATAATATACGTTCGCAGTTATTCAACTGATGAATAAGATATTGAAGACAAATCATACAAAGGATATGAAAGTAAATGAAGTACATAAAACTTAGTTTCAATTGTCTAAATATTAAATCTTATACTGTCTTTTATTAGCTCTACGAGAATGATGTCAAATTGTTGATACAGGCTACGACTGTATTTTAGGTATATTGTAATTTTTTACTATAGTATAGTATTATCGAATAATTAGAATTATGATTTTGGTTAAAATATTATACTTTTATACTGTCGTACAAAAAGTTAAATTAGATTATGTGCATATTTGATAATTGTATGTTTTTGTATCACAAACTAAAATATTGTTTAGCTTCTTAGATTATTATACATTTAGGATAGTCTAATTTTTATCTGCATATCGTGGTCAGTTCAACATTAACTACCGCAAAAACTATCAATTTTCAGACATTCGTCAGCAATAATTATGGTTTTGCAACAACTTATTGAATATTTAGAAAAATCTTCCAATTTTCAATTATTTTTATCAAAAAAGTATTTCAGTCTGTCTTCGTGACTACTTTCAATAGTATTTCTGTATGTATCTTTGAATGTTTATCTTTATTATTAAGGTATGAATATAATCTATCTTTACTTTAGATTTATATTGTGTATTTGATATACGTTTCTGAATAAAATAATTATTCTTAATCCACTTTTTATTTTAGGTATAAACTAGCGGCCGCCCGCGACTTCGTACGCGTGGATCCCGTTTTATCCCCTTCATCTATCTTACACAGTTAAGATTTTTTCATGTAAATGTTTTTTCCCGCAAACTCCCGTTCCCGTGGGAATTTTGCAATATCCTGTTGTAACTAAGCTTTAAGTTTACTAAGGTACCTGCATGCCAAATTTCAAGCGTCTATCTTACGCGGTTTAGATTTTTTCATACAAATGTTTTTTCCCGCTAACTCCCGTACCCGTGGGAATTTTGAAATATCCTGTTGTAACTAAGCTTAAAGTTTACTAAGGTACCTGCATGCCAAATTTCAAGCGTCTAACTTAAGCAGTATAGATTTTTCATACAAAAAGATTTTCCCGCTAATTCCCGGTCCCGTGGGAATTCCTAAGTATCCTATAACCTGCCCAGGAGTATGAAGAATAATTGTACCAAGTTTCGTTAAAATCTGTCAAGTAGTTTTTGTTTCTATAAGGAACATACAGACAGACAGACAAAAATTTTACTGATTGCATTTTTGGCATCAGTATCGATCACTAATCACCCCCTGATAGTTATTTTGAAAATATATTTCATGTACAGAATTGACCTCTCTACAGATTTATTATAAGTATAGATTAAAACCAGAAATAAATTTTATCATTTATTAGCAAGAGGACTTAACAATAAATGTTATCTACACACAAACATACTGATATGTCGACTTATGTACTGACGACTGTTTTTATGTAAAGTGACAGTAGTTTTGTGTGTAATAACAAGGTAATTTTTTACTTGATGGGTTTTATATTAGCGTGGTTTTATAATAAACTAATAAACAAAACTCATCAAGTAAATAATGCTGTTCGAGTTAATTGGCACTTTTATCATTTCGTTATTAATTTAATTTGTAGCATTTGGTTACTAATAGTAAGTACACTCACGTTGCTTCTAGCATTGTAGATTATATTTTGTAGGTACTTTTTTAACTGTTAATTTGTCAAAAAAGTAACCTAAGAAGTTTGTCCAATTCCAACAGTATTAAATAGGACTTAAAACTTGACTGCATAAAACTGAAAAAAAAACTCAAAACAGAAAATGTAGAATTATTTTGACTTTGTATAAAATTGCCAAAAGACTCGAACAGCTTACAAAATGTAGAACTATTTACACCTCTCCTCGGAGAGAACGTAGCATCCTAACGAGTTCATACCTCGACATATGGCTCGAAACTCTTTACTAACACCATAGCCTTGCGTCTAAATACATAAATAACTAAATACTACACGAGTACGTATATAAATAATATTGTTTGGTTCTTCGTACTAAAACTAAAAGCTGTCTAACAAAACTATTTATAAATGCTTGTAGTGTTACTTAAGATTTTAAATGTAAACCATACTATGACGTATGTGTTACAAATTATGTGCTAATATAGATTTCAAAATACTGAAGTTAATACATAAATTAAAAATAAACACAGCATTTTAAATACATAAAAAATAAATAAACAGTATATGGTGGGAGAGTAAAATTATTAAATGCTTTCAAATAATAAATTAAATCTAAAGAAATAATTTAACTTAAACTAACTAAAGATATTTGTATTTACAATATGTCTTAAAAATAAGTGTTGCTAAAAATGCCTTTTGAAATCGAAACCAAAGGAAAAATCATTCAATTTAACAATTTGTTTAAACTTTTTGATAATCTCTTCATAAAACTTAAGTTTAGTTGTAAATGCAACAATAAGACTAAAATACTTGTGGAACAGTTTGTGAAATGATTGTTATAGCACCTAAATAAAATAAAAACATACTTTTATAATTAATTTTGTTCAAACTATAGTTCATTAATTGACTGTTCGTGTTTTTTTTACTTTGTCAACGCTCATCGTATTGTCTGCTAACTTTTAATTTAATAATATCAAAACACACCTCTTCTTGTTGCCATTGACTAATCAATTTAAGTCAGCATAACGTTGACTCCCATATAATATTGCATTTTCATATTATTTGATCCATTCATTACAGTATAATTATGCCAAGATTGTTTATAGATACTTTTTAAAAAACTAATGAGATACAGTCAGTCAAATAGCTCGTGACACCCAGAGTAGCAAATAAATTCGGAACGCATCTTTGTTATTGTTGTAATAAGGTTGTGTTATCATTTTTTTGGCCACTTTGGGTGTCACGAAGTATTTGACGCTGACTGTACGTACCATCTGTAACTTGTAGTTTAATGTAAAATGTGACCAAGAAGGATCTAGCCAACTTCCTTAAAGTCTGCACGCGTCTGGTTTGTTTTAACACGTTAACCGACAATAAAACGAAAGGGGCGTGGCATGGACATATTCTCTAACCATTTAGGCTGGTTTTAGTGTCACGCGGACCGTCCGGTGCAAATCCGCTCCGCACGGCCAATCTGTATGAACTTCTAGGGAGGGTTTTAGAGTAATGCGGTCCGGAGGAACCGCTCCGCTCCCTAGCAGTTCATACAGATCGGCTGTGCGGAGCGATCCGCACTGACAGTCCGCGTGACACTATAAAACCAGCCTTAGTAAAGCTTCAACCACACCACCGCGTGCAGATTAACATCGCCTATGCGATCATAGGCCAATGACAGGTCGCACGGACTGTCGTTGGCCTATGATCGCGCCGGCGAAGGCGATTTGCACGCGTTAATGTGGTTGAAGCATAAGACAGATCAATATCAGAGTAAATAAAAATGAGTAGGTTATCTTCATAGAAACGCACCGAGCGCGGTTTGTATGTGAGCGCACCAATACGTATGCGGCGCGCACGCACACACTGACAAAATTTAGCGTGGATTAGCGGGGTGTATTGCCGCGCTCACATACAAACCGCGCTCGGTGCGTCTATGAAGATGACCTACTCATTTGTATTTACTTTTCACTATCAAAAGTTCACAACCTTGGCAAAATCCAGCCACTACCGCCGCTATAGGTTGTTGACGGAGATGATCTGGTTGATCCATCCGATGAAGGAAGACACCTTGACGTAGACGCCGGGCACGTCGCGGCGGCCGCAGCCGAAGCCCCAGGACACGAGTCCTACCAGCTCGTAGAAGCCGTCGTCTTGGCACACGAGTGGGCCTCCGCCGTCGCCCTGGAAGTGGAAGGTAGTTTTTATGAGCTCTATGGTTACATGGTTCATCAAATCCCCCTCTCAACTTTATTGCAATTCTGAATTCTGTACAGTTTAGACTTTAGCCAGAACCAGAACTGGCGAGCGCTGAAGCAGAAGGACTATGATCGCATTTGCACTCACCAGGGTAGTACCACCACTGTAGAGTAGTTTCATGTTAATCGCCAATGGTGCCAAAGTACAACCCAGTTGAATGAGGGTTTTCGCGAATGAAAGATCCGCTAGATGGCGGCACGTGGATGTGGAGTCTGACTGCTGCGTGATTGGTGGATTTTGACATATCCGTCAATGTCATGTCAAAAATATCCAATCATGCAGCATTTGGACCTCGCGTCTACGTATTGCCATCTGGCGGATTTTTCATTCGCGAAAACCCTCATTAAATGCGAACCTGGCTGCCGTGACGTCACATGGACACTGGTACGGACGGGGTGAACGCGGGGTGTGCGGGTAAGTGGGTGAGAGAGTCGCATTCCAGCGAAGTGAGCAGTTAGCTCGATAGGGTTGTATCATTGAGGACTTCACGGCAAAATTAATGGTTTGCTGTTGATCCTGGTTACACAGGAGTTGCAGCGGTGGGAACGAGAGGAAAAGTCCCGTTCACAGCAAAATAGATTCAGTTAATTAAGCGGCATCGGGTTGTATCATTGAGGACTTCACAGCGAAATTAATGGTTTGCTGTAGATCCTGGCTACACAGGAGTTGCAGCGGTGGGTCCAAGATGTGGGAAGAGTCCCATTCAAAATAGATTCAAATCATTCAGCGACAGTTACCTGGCACGCGTCGTTGCCCTCCTCGCCTCCCGCGCAGAAGGAGCTGGTGGGCAGGATGAAGATCTTCTCCGTGACCGCGTTGACCTTGCGCACGCATTCCGCGTCACTCACTATGGGCAGTTCGGCCTCACGCACGCGCAGAGGGATGGGGCCGGCTGGAAAGGAATTCAACGTTAGTACAGTGAAATTCACACACAGCTTATGACCGCAGTCTGTGGAGGAACACTATATGTGGTCGCGATCCTCATCAGTGAGGGACCGAGGAAGAAGTGTGAAAGTACGGCGTCATGGTGATAAATCAGCTGTCGAACTGCTGATTCGAGATTCGAGGAACGATCGTTCGGTCCCCGTCGAATGCAAGACTTGGATAGACTATAGTGGATAAAGTCCCCGCTCTTAACACAAGGATATTTAACTTTCGTCAGTGACAACAGTCTTCTCCGTCATTTCAGCCGCATCAGCCTATGGCAATCTACATTTAAAAGTACCCCAAGGAGTGTCACAAATCAGGATCTATTACATTTTTCATCCAGCCATTGATGGTTGTATTCTGGACGTCATCCGTCCATGGATTAGGAGGCAAGGGCATCCAACACTAATCTACTCTTGAACTAGCCCACTAAAACACTTGGCAGTTTTTTGGAAAATCTGGGCGTCTGGTCAGATAATCTCTGCAATACTTATTATGGTGGCTGATACTCACTTTCTCCCATGTACCCGTAGCCAGTGACAGTGCAACGCTTGCCGGCGGCGTGGCTCACCCCTCGCGCTGGCAGACAAACTAAGCACACCCCTGGGAAAAAGAAAATATGCTTCAAAGGTGATTTACAGGTACTTTAAAACTTTGAAGAGTAAGGTCTACTAGTAATTCAAAGGAGCAGCAACGGAATTTCGATTCAAGACTTTCCGATCTGTCTATTAGTGTCTACGTACTCGTATTTTTTTCTTACCGAGACTTCTTGTCAAATGACTAAACTTTACTCAAGAATCAAGTTTTAATATTGGTTTAAACAAGTACATAAACAGAAGTCACTTAAAATCGAATCTGCTATAGTCTGGTCGCTGAGCACATAGAATTTTGTCCATTGACCCCAAGCTACTCATCCTTATCGCTCGCGCGTAATTATATTGCTGTCGCGACTGTGCGACGGGCGGCCGCAGTAAGTGTGCGAGCGCAATAGCAACATAATTACGCGCGAGCGATAAGGATGGGTAGCTTGGGGTCAATGGACAAAATTCTACGTGCTCAGAGACCGGGCTTTAGAATACTATGTCTAGGGAGTAGAGAGGCTGGATCAACTCACCTTCCTTCAGCTCGGCCTTGCCCAGTAGCTTCAGCAACGCGATGTCGTTATCCAACGTCTGGCTGTTGTGGTTGTGGTGGATGTAGGTGGTGGCTACCCGCAGCGTCTGCGCGCCGGGCGAACCGTACTTGCGCGTGAGATCGTGGTCGCCTACCCGCACGAATATCGCCTCGCCAGATCGCACGATACTGGAAAAGAGAGAAAAATGGTAGGTGGGATGCTGAAATCTGGCGTAGAAAATTCTAGTGGTGTTTAGTCCTGAGAATTCACTATACTGCGATCTCTTTATCAATGCTGTCCTATATTTCATAACGGCACAGAATACATAATAGTAGCAACAGAAATTGCACTCCTTTGTGTAGGATCAGATGCCGACATTTTAACGGTAATAATAATAATGCGAAATATCCAACGCACATGGTGCATTCGAAATCGCACCTTACTACTACGCTCACAAGAGCGCATTTTTTTTGTGTTTAGAATTGATCTACGTCACCGCTCAAGCGTAAGGCCTCAGCCTCGAACTTAGCGGGCAGCGGGGCGGGAGCGGCGGCGGCGCGGCAGCGGCAGGATCTTACGCGTGAAATCAAATAGACCGGTTCTCGAAAACAGCGGCGCGGCAGCGGCGCCGGAGCGGGCAACGAGCGGGCAGCGGCGAGGGAGCGGGTAACGAGCGGGCAGCGCACTCCTTCTTTTGCTCACAATAAATCGAGCGTTAGGAATAAATTTGAATCGAAATAAAATTGTCGCCGTGTGTGTTCAGACATTTCGTTTGCGAATAAAAAGAAAATATCTCGACAACACAACCCCGAACACAACACTTCGCCGCTAAAGCGCCGCGCGAGCTGCCCGCTTATTTCGAGAACGGGTCTGCGTTGCCCGCCCCGCTCCCGCGCCGCCGCCGCCGCCGCCCCGCTGCCCGCTAAGTTCGAGGCTGAGGCCTTGAAAATGTTAATTGTAAGGAAATAGATACAACTTTAGGGAAGAATAACCAACAGCTAATTGAACATTCTGAGCAACCACTTGAACTGATATCAAAGAAGATAAAAAAATAAATACATATAAAATTTACATATAAAATTCAAATTTTTGCGTCATCTATGTTTTGAAGTAGATGATTCTGTCTCTACCGATTCTGACTCATCAACATCAGCTCAAGAAATATTTGATAATATGTTAATAAGGCCAAACGCAATTTATTTTGAAATTTTGAAGACTGTACTACTAGAATTTAAGTTTAATGTTTTGTTTTGTTTATTTAAAGCCTATTTTGTCATTTTAAAATTGATAATTTTGTTTTAAGATACTGGGCAATTACTGTGCTTTGATGTGGGCAATTAGTGTGAGTAATGGGCAATGACTGTACTTTTTGGAGGATTTTAAATTTATTTCAATATTTACTAAGTTACGTAAGTTTTAACTAAAAACTGTTAATATTCTGTTTAACAGTTTATTGAGTTATAAGAAAAAAGTCATAAATGGTCGATAATTAAAATACTTTCTTTAATTTTTCATCTCAATGTGTTTGAAATCTTTAAGTGGGCAATAGCTATACGGTTTACCCTATTAAAAGACTTAAAATAAAATCAACCGTACTAGAATGTTTTTAGAGGGCTTACATGAAAGGAGCGAAGTATTTTCTTTTTAAATTAAACTCTTTGAGTGAGCTTCAAATGTTCTTGTTTTTATCAAAGGAGATAAATTGAAAATTCTTGCGGTTTAGCTCAGAATTTATAGATAACAATCGTTGAAAAAAAAATCTATAGCCAAGATATTTAGTATATTAAAACTCGCTGAAAATTACTTCAATTCCAGTTAATAAGTCACCAATTTTTCATTTCTCTCAAACTTTCTTAGATCTCCAATTTCTTAAATACCCGAATTTGTGCTAATCAAATTAACCAATTTAAAAAATTCGAGTCCGGTACGAATTCGTATACTCTTTTCCTTAACCGGATTGGATGGGATAGAGGGAAACCTTTTTCCCGATTAAGTCACTCACTCGTTAGCGTTTTTTGAACAAAAGGCGGTACGCATACGTGATTTGACTGAATCGTCAAGAAAGATTACCGGACTCTATGGTTGCCAAATACTTTTTGCGTAACCGTGACGTCACTATCCTTTTGACTACAAGCTTGATTGATATAGTTTGATCGGAAAAGATTGATAACGAAAGCTTTAATTGGCTTCAGTATGAACGTTTTCAAGAGTTTAAACAATTCTAACTCCGAAAAAAGCATCCAAGTAAAATATGTGAATTTAAGTTTGTCCTCGATTGGGTGAAGGTCCTGGATGCGGGCAGCGCAGGACCGGTATTTGTGGAAATCCTTGGAGGCCTTTGTCCAGCAGTGGACGTCGTTTGTCTGAAACGAACGAACTCCTAGTTGATCTCTATGCATCATCATCATCATCATCATTTCAGCCACAGGACGTCCACTGCTGAACATAGGCCTCCCCCAATGACTTCCACATCGCACGATTAGTAGTTAGTAGTTCAGCTATAGTGAGATCCATTAAGTTTCAATACTAATTAAAAATGTTTTTCTCTACACGTTAAAACACTAAAGGTGATCGCATCGAGACATTTATAAAATTCAGAACATCTCCAGCATTATTCCAGAAAATCAAAACAGACTGCAAACTGGAAATGTATCGACAAAATGGAAGACCAAATACGACTCAATAAATCGTGGCAAATCCTCGTTCGCGCCCTGCCCTAGCCAATAAAGCAAATTATTTGTTTTATTTGTCAATTCGTCCGGACTCAGTTCGATCAAATCGAATAACTGGGATAACTGGACTTATTTCGGTTTTCCAGAGCCAAGGTGAAAATACTCGATTTCTATTATTCTGATTAGAGAGATACGTAATGGCCGCTCCAATTTCAAAGTTTTATATAAACTGAGCAAGAATTTCAGGCGCAAAGGAATTTTTATGGAAGGATATTGGCGTTTGTAGCTTTGATAAACTGATATTATTGAACCACAGGTTTGCCGTAGGAAATATTAGTTAGGTACGTTACTTTGTAGTAGTAGTATTTTTATTTGTGGTACTTTTGTGCCCTTTTTTTAAGTTTCATACTCAAAGTATGCTTACGGACTCTATTCATAGTATGCCATTGCTGTCTTTCTTTTCCATTGTCAGCAAGGTCTATTTATAGTATTTAGTTAAAATTTGACACATAATGTGTACCTATACACATTATAATTAGACACAGACAGTTTCAAAATAGGTTCCTATGTGTATTTTTGTTACTGGTCAAGTTAATAAAGTATTTAACATTCTATACGATGGTACAAACCCTTCGTGCGTGTTAGTTTTTACCCGACTACGGCAAAGCAAAATGAGGGTTATTATTTTGACAGGTTATGTATGTATACAGGGTGTTAGGTAAATGGGTATATGAGCCGACACTAGCCCATGTTAAAATGGTCATATAAATGGTATGGTGAAGTCAGAAAATTGATATCTTCATTTTAATTATTTTAATTTTCATACAAATCTGATTTTATATTTCTTTTTGTTTGAAAATTAAAAAAATAAAATGATGATATCAAATTTCTGACTTCATCATACCATTTATATGACCATGTTAACATGGGCTAGTGTCGGCTCATATACCCATTTACCTAACACCCTGTATATATTCTATGTTCATCGGTTCCCTCGTAACTTCTAAACTACTTATCAGAATTTGACAAATGACATATTATTAGAAGCGTCTTAATTGTCCGCTGGTTATAGGCTTTATCAATAATTCAATTTCAATTCAATTCTTTTATCTTTATGACAAAATCTAAATGTGGTGCCCTCTAGTTTCCGCCACTTCTCAGCTCCAGCCAATATGCCGCCCGAAAGTGACAGTTGGGCAAGTTACATTCTAGTCCTGTATAAATGACCTGAAAAGGGCCTTCGTCTACATCATCATCATCATTTCAGCCACAGGACGTTCACCGCTGAACATAGGCCTCCCTTAATGACTTCCACATCGCACGGTTGGTAGCGGCCTGCATCCAGCTCCTTCCGCCAGTAGATGTCCTACATACAAACAAACAATTTGAATTTGAATTCAAATTTGATCCAACTCGCTCTTGGCTTGTTTTGATGGTCTGTTTGTATCTCATTTGCGACTGCAGCGAGCACAATTCTGTAAATTGAAATCTTTGACCGAAATCTCGTATTGCAACGTGAGCTCGCCGATGCTAATCTAAACTCGTGCTTTATTGCGATGATATTTCCGCAAAATTTTAACGCTCGTTTTTCAGAAATTAAAATAAATAAACTAGACTGGATAGTAAGACGGTAGGCAAGAAGACTTATTCTGTAATACGGGTTCGAAGGGGAAGGTAGGTAAAAATTACAATTCCCTAACTAAAAATTATTACCCATACTTTTAACAATAATATAATAAGTATAGTATCAAGTGTAAAGATAATTGCATGGTCTAAAAGGCTGTCTTCCATTTTTTTATGATAAATAAAACATACCGTTTCGCTGAAAATCGCAACAACCTGTATTTTTTAACTTTGACCTTGAATTTGTTTTTAGCATTGATCGATCGAGATGGTACAAGTTCTAGACTTTGTTTGTTCCAGTATTTTTCAGCACTTTATTCTCTATCTTATTAAATAAAAATAAATAAGGATGAAAATTCATAATAAATGTCTCACCGACTACGTCGAGCCTTAGGAACAGGCTGGTGGGCGGATGCGACGACACCTGGCACTCGTAGATACCGGCGTCCCGCTTCTGAACGAACCGAACCTTCAGCGTCCAGTCCTGTGGAAGAATTGACACGTTTTACGTTCAATTTTAATATAAATTCATACTCATGTTGGATTTATGGACGCATAAGAGAAACTTCTTACTAATTGTTTATGGGCACTCTCGTCCTTGTCGCGTTGACAAAATGTTCTCATATATTTTACTCTAAAATATAAAGTCTTCATATTAAGCTTTGTTTAATTTCATCAGGTTATGGGCCCAGATCAGGTTATGGGCTAGAGATGAAACGGATAGTTGTTTGGCCGGATACCGGATACCGGATATCCGGCCAGCTGCTAGGCCGGATAGCCGGATATCCGGCGGCCGGATAGTTGACCCATTGTCTCGTTGCATGTCGTGACGAGTATAGCGCCGCACAGGTGCTTCGAACGCGATCAGTGGGTCTATTAGTAGAATAGACTACACTTTTGAAAAATCGAATCCGTCCGAATAGAATGTCAGATTTTGCCACTTGTTTAGGGGGCAGATCAATTCAATTTCGGCTGCAATCGTGAGTGAAAATGAAATGAAAATGAAAATGAAAAAGTGTGTGATTGAATAGCGAAAATTTAACTATACTGGTCATCACAAAAATCGGCCCACCTACGTTTTACAGGAAAACTCGTTTCCACTGACACAGTCATGGTGCCCCAACAATATTGGTGTTATTTGAAAGCCCAATAAATATCATTAAAGAAAAACACATTTAATTTCTTAATAAACGATTAACATAAACGCGATATACAATAAATGTGACTTGAAAAAAGAACTCACTTTGGGCTCACCTCTGGGATCAATTAGACCAATTTTTATGGTTATAAAATCAAATAATGATCTCACGTGTCCTCTTTAACAGATGGATAGCGATTAATCCCAACTTAACAGTTTTATAGCCATAAAAGTCGGCTCAAGCGTAACTACCTATTTTTTGAAGAAGTGACTCTGGATTCTTCTACAGACACATTTTTGGGGTAAAACCCTTTCCTATAATGAAATGAAGTTTAGAACTAGGCTTTTAAATGGTGCCAATATTGGTGGGAAGTGGGGATGCATACGTTTGAAAGTGCTTGTCGCGGGAGGGTCGATCTTTGTGATGACCAGTGTAGTTGCATCATGTCATCAGACCATCAGTGAAAAAAAAATCGCCTTTTTTTATTTGGCAATATTTCGATATTAACAGATATTTACTATTTATCTATGTATTCGTCATTAGAGTGAATAGCCCAGAAAAATAAATTAGTTTTGAAAGGCCTTAATATGGCTTTTTTGTAACTTTTTGGACTTTAAATAAAAGCCGTCATTGTTGTAAGCCATTTTATTGATATTTACCTTAAAGATTAATGTATTTCATTTTATTAATAGGAAATTGTCGTTTTTTTTTAATATCCGGTATCCGGCCGGATAGTGAGTTACTATCCGGTATCCGGCCGGATAGTAAATTAAGGCCGGATATCCGGCCTACCGGATAGTTGCCGGATATCCGTTTCATCTCTAATTTATTATTTAAAAAGTGTAGTTTTTTTTTATTATTTAAATCACTACAGTTAATTATTACTCCTAAATATTACAATTTTTCATTAAAGAAGAATAACAGTGCTGTTGGAATAATAAACCTTAATTGCGACGATGATCGACCGAGCGTGTATAGAAATACGCGTAAGCAAACAGGCGCGTGGCGGCCCGGACTGATTTGCAACTTGAAGTTGTCGCGCGCTGTAGGTAATTATCTCGGCCGGCATAGGCGAGTGACGGAGGCCTGATAACGGGTTGAATATTAATTTTTTTCTCGAAATCGCGAATTTAAATGTCAATTTTATAATGCGAACAGCTAGGGACTGGAATTCACTGTCTGCTTTTCCCGATCATTATAATCCGGGCAGGTATTACACCATCCTAGACTGCACAATGCGATTGCAGTTAAATACTGCTTTGTGCAAAAAAAATTGGCGTTTAATTATCGCATTTCCTTTAAAAATCACGAAGTTTCATGATTTCTGTCGCACGTCTGTTTGAAATCCTCCAGCCTTAGTCCTATCTTTTAGTTGAGTTGACTCACAGTACCAACACGCAAATCATTCATTATTTTTCAAAAAACAGTGTTACTTACGCCCTTATTCACAACACTATAAGGTCTCACAGTGCGCGTGGACGCACAGGGTCACACGCGAACCAATCACAGAGCTCTATTCAACGTTGTGATGCAAACTCGTATATAATTTTTTCAACGCTGTGCGTTCGATTTTTTGCGTCACTTAAGCAAGCAGCGTCTGTGAATACGGGTATTAGTAACGCAGTGAGCGGCCGTCAGAACCCAATGCGTGCCGATCAGCGCGGCGCCACACAGGTAGGTACTGTTGAAACCCCCCGGTCTTAGTACTAGTGTTCAGAATCAGACCCTAATTACCATTGCCTCTTTCTCTGTATATCCTGTCCCAAAAACCAGAATTATATTTACTTGGTAACGCAGTGAGCAGCCGTGAGCACCCAGTGCGTGCCGATCAGCGCGGCGTCACACAGGTACTGGTTGAAATCCTGTGGCCTAATCTTCAGACGAAACGTCGCCTCACAACTGACTCATGAATTACATTGCATCGGATAGGTACCTAATTCTTGGTCCAAAAAGTGACACCCCAATCTTACTTGGTAACGCAGTGAGCGGCCGTGAGCACCCAGTGAGTACCAATAAGCGCAGCATCACAATAGGTACTGGTTGAAATCCCCCGGTCTTAGTAGGTAGTGTTCAGAATCAGACCCTAATTACCATTGCCTCTTTCTCTGTATATCCCGTCCCAAAAACCAGAATTATATTTACTTGGTAACGCAGTGAGCAGCCGTGAGCACCCAGTGAGTACCGATCAGCGCGGCGCCACACAGGTACTGGTTGAAATCCTGTGGCCTAATCTTCAAACGAAACGTCGACTCACAACTGACTCATGAATTACATTGCATCGGATAGGTACCTACTACTATTCTTGGTTCAAAAAGTGACACCCCAATCTTACTTGGTAACGTAGTGAGCGGCCGTCAGCACCCAGTGAGTACCAATAAGCGCAGCACCACATAGGTACTGGTTGCAATCCCCCGGTCTTAGTACTAGCTGTGGTACTAGTGTTCAGACTCTAGTTACCATTGCCTCTTTCTCTGTATATCCCGTCCCAAAAACCAGAATTATATTTACTTGGTAACGCAGTGAGCGGCCGTGAGCACCCAATGAGTACCGATCAGCGCTGCGCCACACAGGTACTGGTTGAGTGAGTTGATGAGAGCCACCTGCCAGCACCACTCGCCGCGCTCGCCGTCCGCGCCGCCCATCACTCGCCCGGAGCGGGATGAGGTTCCTGAGAAATGCATTCATCATCATGAATCTCAGCTACATACAGGACGTCCACTGTTGAACTAGTGATGTTATGGATATGTAGTTTCGCTTATGGATACGATTACGGATATAGGAATAATATTATACCGGTTTCGGTTACGGTTACGGATATTTTTTTATTTCGGATATCCGAACGTTTCGGTTACAGCTACGGATATCTGTGCTTTAGAATGCAATTTGCAATATTTGTCCAACACGGTTCATTCATGGCCGCACACTTTACATCAAATAAAAAGTTATAAAAAAAATGATTGATACTAGATGGCATTATAAAAGTAAATCAGACTTATGCCTTTCTCTACATATAATTCTATACAAAAAACTATTTTAAACTGCCTACATCCGAAACTATCGGAAACTTGAATCGGTTACGGTTTCGGATATTTTTTTATTTCGGATATGCGAAAGTTTCGGTTACGGTTACGGATATCCATAACATCCCTGTGTTGAACATAGGCCTCCCGAATTCCAGATTGGCCGGTTGGTAGCGACCTACATCCAGGGTCTTCCAGAATCGATAGCGGCATCTTTTAGAATGTCATCTGTACACCTTGTTGGACGATGATTTTGATTTTGACAACCAAAGGACGTCCACGTCCTGTGTAGGACAAAGGCCTCCCTCAAAGATCTCGACAACAGCTGGTCCTTTGCTGACGGCATCTAGGCCATCCTGGTACATCCTGCGACTTCATTTCAGTAAATTGAGAATATTCTTAGTTTCAAAATTAAAAAGTAAATGATAAAGAAACTTACCTTTCACTCCGCATACGTATTTGTTGTATTTTTCAGGAATTTTCAGAGTTGAATCGTAGTTCTGGTCATATTGAGCTGAAAATAAAAAAGGAGAAGTTAGCAGGAGTCTTATTTAGTTTAGAATTACATTTAGTTGGGTCTAGAAAGTAAAAGCAACATTTCGAACATTTTAAAAGCACCAATGCTAGCTCTAATGATGGAAAAGAACAGTGGTCCACCAAGTTCTAAAATGTTCTATCTTCACCTGATCATCTTTTTCCAGGGCAGGTAAGTTAAGATACAGAGCACTCTGATCCTTCATCGTAAGCAGAACTGTCACTATTTCTTTTGTCTACTTAAAAAAACTGTCTTGCAAGGAGTTGGAACTGTCAAAACTGTCTGGCTGATGGGGAAACTACTGCTTATAAGTTTTTTTAGGGTAGCTGCCAAAGCCACGATAACCCAAACTTCATAATTCACCAACACTATATCCTATATTGGGAGCATACGCTGACAAACTTTCAGCTTTTATAAAATGACGTAGGTCTGGCGTTCACTAGCTCTTAGTCTAAAATAGTGACAGTTCTGACGATGAAGGATCAGGGTGTCTTATATGTTCTGGAAAAAGATGATCAGGAGAAGGTGGAACATAAGGCATTAGACTATTGTCCTAACTTACAAATAGCGGTGGTGTAGGGCGGCGCAGGCGTCGTATGCGGCGCGTAGGCAGGCGTGGTGGTGGCGAGAGGGAACGAGTCGTTGCGATCGCGCCCGCCCAGCGCCTCTTGGATCTTCAGCTTGGGCGCACAGCACTGTGTGCCCGACTTCTTGCACTTGAACACGTCCGTCATCTCAGCGTTGCCTGGGGAAAGGGATTTAATCGTCAATGTTGATAGTTTCCAAACAATTTGGTGTAGCAACTTTATTTCCTCTTTCGGATCGGATACCTAACATAGGGTAAAACGGAACGTAAATCAAATCATTTGAAGTGTTGACCAGTCTTCCCGTAAACGTCGTAAGAGGCGACCAATTGAGAAATACAAGGCCTCTCGACCCGTCTGACCAGCACTAAGCAATCCTCCATTTGTCTCAATTGTCTCTGATAAATTGGAGAGGGTTCGTGGTAGTGAAGACGAAATTAATGACCCGATGATGATTACTCAATACTTTATTGCATTTCACAGGGTGGATAAGGTCTTTACTAGTTGTATTTTTATTGGATTTCAAGTTGAAGATCCTGGCTACACAGGAGTGGCATCCGTGGCAACGAGAAGTGGTAATAGTCCCGTACTGGATGAAAAGACAATCCCAATCCAATTGATGGGCTAGTCAATGAGTATAAGCAGTACTTATTTTTATTCTGTGGTATAAGTGTAATAACCCCCAATGACGACCTCATAAAGGTAGCAGGAAAGCGTTGGATGCAGGCCGCTGCCTGCTACTAACCGGTCAACATGAAAGTCATTCGGGGAAGCCTGTGATGCCCTGCGGCTGAAATGATGATGATGATGAACCCCCAATGATGGATACTCACGGAAGCAGGTGAAGGACAGGTAGGGCACGATGCAGGAGCCGGGGCAGTCTGCGCGCGCGTCGGCGGGCGGCGCTGGAGTCGTCGTCGTCGTTGTGGTGGGCGGCTTCTTGGTGCGCTTCACGCTGCGGACAGAGGTGAGGGAATCAGAGACTGGTGCAAACTTTGGTTTCTGGGGATCTTAATGAACTTAAGGTTCTACAAATTAAAAAATCAAAATATAACAGAGGTTTTGGCCGGCGAATCTTTCAAATAAGTATTAGAAAGATTTCTGATCCATGTTCAAGATCCACGGCACCGTCTAAACCTCCGGTAGTTGTGCCAAAGGCTGCTATTGAAATTGCCTCTACATGAAAAGACACTATTGCAGCAGATCCTGCCTTTAAGCTCTTCGGTAGCTACGCTAAATACTGCAATTTGCCTCTACGTGAGGAGCCCTATTTCCACCAGACGCTATCGCAGCAAAAGCCTTCGGTAGCTACGTCAAAGACTGCTTTAAGATCAATTGCCTCTATGTCTTCATATCGTATGCTCGTGTTTCTTGCCTGATACTATCACAGCAAAACCTGCCTTTAAACCCTTCAATAGCTATGCCAAAGGCTGCGAAAACATAATTTACTTCTTTAGGAGCTCTTGTTCTTACCTGACACTATCGCAGCAGATCCTCCCGCTGGCTTTACATTCCGTGTTGGGGATGAGCGACGCCGGCGCCTCGCAGAAAGCCATCATCAGCGGCAGCATGCAGCGGCCCGGGCAGCGGCGCAACGGAGGCTGGAAGGCCATGATGAATTACTTTTAATTTCTAGTAGTCTAGAAAATTATGTGCACGTTGATGACTAAAGCCCGGTCTGTGAGCACGTAGAATATTGTTTAATGACCCCAAGCTACCCATCCTTATCGCTCGCGCGTAATTATATTGCTGTCACGACTGTGCGACGGGCGGCCGTAGTGAGTGTGCGAGCACGACAGCAACATAATTACGCGCGAGCGATAAGGATGGGTAGCTTGGAGTCATTGGACAAAATTCTACGTGCTCGCAGATCAGACTATAGATTTCATTCCCAGCCTCCATAGACAAGTACCTAACAATTAAAAGTGAGGGTTGCAATTCCAAAATTGCTTCGCTCCGGCGTTTTTTTGTAAAGGAGTTCTTTCTGGAAACTTTGCTGGAGTGGAGGGACTTTGCTCCATTAAGCGATTTCTTTGTAACTTGTTTAGGGAGGCAAGCATCATTATCAACTGCTGGTAGGGCAATCTCAAATACTTATAGCTTGCCGTACCAGTAGTTACTTTTCGTCGAAACTATAAGAAAAACAGCTGTCTACCCTCTCAACTTGAATGTATATAACATTCGAATCAGTTTTAATTTCAAAATTCTTTCATCTGATCCTTTTTGGTGCGTTAAACTACTTCGCGTGAAGCTATCGCCAACGAACTGCTTCTAAAGCCTGGTCCGTCAGCACGTAGAATTTTGTCCAATGACCCCAAGCTACGCAAACTCACTGCGGGCGCCCGTCGCACAGTCGCGACAGCAATATATAGTATACACGCGCGAGCGATAAGGATGGGTATTGTATTTGTCAAAAAAGAATTCAATGTGTTCGAAGAAGATTCAGGGCCTAAACTAACCTGTGTAGGCCTGGGCGTGGTGGTAGGCCGCCTGGTGGTGGTCTCGGCCTTGGGCTCATTGTTGCAACAGGTCCCTTCGTCCGGGCACACTGCGTCCTCGTCGACCTCCTCGCACAGCAACGCGAAGAGTCCTCCGACGCAGTCGCCATTACACTTGCGGCCCGGCTTCTGCCGCGGCGGGGGGGTAGTCTGAGAAATTAATAGATAGATAACACTAGATATTAAGACAAGAAAAGAAAGAAATTCACAAAAGAGACGGCACAATATTTAATAACTAATAGTTATTTAATCATAAACATTAACCAGATCGGCAGCAGCGTCAACTAGAACCTTTACAAACTTAGTTACTTGAAAGGTTTTTAAGTACCTAATCTAAAATATCCCTGATGGCCGGAGTAGATAGGGGCGTGCATTAATCAAGCCATCGTACTGCCAATTAATAAATATAGATCTGTTTCTAACATAATTAAGTATTCTGTACACAGACGTTGATCGAAATTATATCATGCCTTGGTGTCTTTCCTCTTGCTTTGCCATGGGAACCCGTCAAGCAGTGATTTTCAAGGATGAAGGTGAAGCCTTCTAAATTCCTAAGCACGCCTCACCCAGCAGAACCTTACCGTAGTAGTAGGTCGTTTCGTAGGCTTGTTGTTCTTGTGGTACTCCCCCGGGATGACCAGGTCAGCTGGTGGTTTGTCCCCATAGCCCTCCTTGGAGACGCAGCACAGGCGGCCCGGGACACACAGGCTTTTAGAGGTCAAGTATGAGATACAGTATCTGGTCAGGCTCGTGTCCACGCATAAACCTGGGCAGGAGATGTTGCCTGGAAAGAAAAAAGGATGCTATTGGAATATTTTTTGTTATTTTAATACTGGCAACATATTGAAAAACCCAAGCCAGGAAAATAAATTGATTTTGTGAAAAAAGGATTAATTATGATTTTTTTTTCTAAGTAGTTTTCTAACGCATATTGTATTAATCTTCTCATCTTTGCATGTTACATTATAACAAACGACTGACAGCTATTTAAGTAAAAATAGGGTAGACGCCAAAACTTTACTAAACTCCACTAGTTACCCGCAACTGTCATTTATCATTACGCCTACCCTCTCAAAGAGATTTCGTGGAGAGTATTAATAAAGTAGACGAGAAGCATGGTCGATGTGTTTATTATATTGGACTTAACTGTACAAATCTGGTGATCATTTGTGTTTTAAAGTGCAGTGAAGTGATAAATTATAAAAACATTGAAATATTTCGAATTTGAACACGCGTCGAGTGTCGAGTGGGTTGCCGTATAAACCCTGCTTACGGGCATACTTATCACCACACGGAATCCACGAAAAAACAATAGAAGTAAGTGAAATCAACAAATTATGTCAAAGAAACCACTCGACATTGGCAGAAATGAACCACCCTTAAAGGAGGTTTCGTTGCTATTTAAAAAAATATTACTGCACCAACTACCCGGTCACATTTTCACACGACATTTTCTTGCTTTTAAAAAGTGTTTTAAATCTCCTTACTAAAAAATGCACCCTAGTTAAACAATATTTTAAAGTGACGCTTAGTATGGAAATGTCATTTTAAAACGGTGTTCAACTAGCGTGTAACTTTTTACTAGTAACTATTAATTTTCTTCCTAAGCTCTAACCTTCCTACCTCGCTAAAGGTCCTATAGAAGTAAGGGTGTACCTAATAATTACCACTGTCTTTGTCTTGCGGCACGGAGGGGCTGGTGACGGGCTCATCGTAGTCCTCCTCCTCTGCCTCCGTGGTCGTGTAGCGCGTGGTGAACGGACGGCGCGTGGTGATGAGGGTGTCGTTGCCTGGAAGAGGTGATCAGGTTAGTAACTTACTTTACTTTGAAATCTTAATTTGTGACTAACGCCCGTATTCACAAACATTACTATGAGGTCTCACAGTGCGCGTGGACGCACAGGATGACACACGAACTAATCAGAGCTCTATTCAACGCTGTGCGTTCGATTTGCTGCTTCACATAAGAAAGCATCGTTTGTGAATACGGGCGTTAGTCAAATCAATGATTGTGGAACATAAGATGTGTATGAGTATTTATTCAATTACGAATTCATAGAGTACCTAAGTAAATAGGCTTTTAAAAAATAATCAGCGCGAGAAAGTCGGTGTCTGAATGAGACGTGGTCCATTGTATTAATCCACGAAGAGATGGTAATTTGTTTGTTATGTTGCATAGCCTAGGCGCAGACTACCGATTTTTAATTGGCCGATATTAGTTGGGTCGGGCTGTTGATAAGTATAAAGAATTGGGTCAGGCTGTTGATAAGTATGGAGATGTATGAAAGTTCGCACATTACACCGATTTGGGGTTGACCGATTCTTCATACAAATTAAAATCGGGACCAACTATCCGCCAACTAAAAGTCGATGGTCTGTCTTGGCTTAATGTTGGTGACATCTTTGAAATATATTTTTGAAGAATAAGAGCCCCAAAGCTTTATGGCCACCATTGTACTTCCACTAGCTTCCATGATACTTGGAATTCACCCAAAGACTGTCCCACTAGGCCTGCCCAGCTTGTCTACGATGCGCATCACGATAAAATTTTATCGCGGTGTTTAGACGACAAATGACTAATCGTCTAAAATCGATAAAATGCTTCGAAAATATTATAACTAGCGGCCGCCCGCGACTTCGTACGCGTGGATCCCGTTTTACCCCCTTAGGGGCCCGTTCCCGTGGGAATTTCGAGAATTCCTTTCTTAGTGCACATCTATCTAGGTAAGCAATGTCCCTTCTAAATTTCAAATGCCTACGTTTAGCCGTTTAGGCTGTGCATTGATATGTCAGTCGACTGACATATCAATGCACAGCCTAAACGGCTAAACGTCAGTCAGTCAGTTTCTTCTTTTATATGTATATTTAGCACGAGCGTGCTATGCTCGGAGTTTCCCTGCGTGATCGAATCAGAAATGAGGAGATCCGTAGGAGAACCAGAGTGACTGACATAGCCCGCAGAATCGCTAAAATCAAGTGGCAGTGGGCGGGGCACATAGCTCGAAGAGCTGATGGCCGCTGGGGCAGGAAAGTTCTTGAGTGGCGACCACGAGCTGGAAGACGTAGCGTGAGCAGGCCTCCCACTAGGTGGACCGACGATCTGGTGAAGGTCGCGGGAGGTACCTGGATGCAAGCGGCGCAGGACCGGTCTTTGTGGAAATCCTTGGGGGAGGCCTTTGTCCAGCAGTGGACGTCTTTCGGCTGAAACAACAATGTATATTTAGATAGTAGGTTTACTTGCAACTCAGGGTAATGCTACTTACCCAGGGGCTCATCGACGCAGCACTTCATGGAGGGCTTGGGGCACTCCACCTCGTCCAGGACGTTGGAGCAGATGAGCGAGGCGAGCGCGTGCATGCACACGCCCGGGCAGTTCTTGGCGTCCACCTGCGTATCCAACGTATCCAGGAGACCTGAGGGTAAGTGGATATATTACTTGTGGAACTAAGGACATCAGTACTTGCTGATAAAATCGCTGTAACATTCATTTTATTGTGTCGGCATGCCCCGGCTTTGCACGGTTGCAATAGAATTTCTCGGCTTTTCTCTTCTATATGTAATATTAATATCCATGTTTTTTACATAATAAACCTTCCTCTTGAATCACTCTATCTATTTAAATAACTTTAAAAAAAACCGACTTCAAATGCGTGAACATAAATAATACCTATTCAACAAAAAAATAATCGTTCAAATTGGTTCATAATCGGCGGAGATATTGCGTATAAAAAAGTTCATCCCCAATTTTCCACCCTTGGGGGTGAAATATTTTCTTCAAATTCGCATGAAACCACTCTTTTAATAATACCTATTCAACAAAAAAATAATCGTTCAAATTGGTTTATAATCGGCGGAGATATTGCGTATAAAAAAGTTCATCCCCAATTTTCCACCCTTGGGGGTTGTTTTTTTTATTATTTAATTTAAATGGGACCACCCTTGAGGTATTACCTATACGCCGAAAAAAGATTTGTTCAAATCGGTTTATAATTGGCGGAGTTATCGCGTAACAAACATAGAAAAAAAAACATACGGGTCGAATTGAGAACCTCCTCCTTTTTTTGAAGTCGGTTGAAAAAAAACCACATTCTCCATCCAAATCCTTTGCGTAGTTTTAAAGATTTAAGCATACAAGGACAGACAGGAAAGAGACTTTGTTTTATAAGAAGTACTTAGTGATGATGTAGGTATGGTAATCGTACTCGAGAGTGGTGACAAATGCCGGTCAGTCATGTTCGCTCGCAAACTGAATATTGCTCGTTCGATCGCAAACGTTGGTCGCTCCTTCGTCACCTGCGTCTTACTATAGCCCTTCCTTCCGTGCATAACAGTATCTTGATGAGTCCAAACGATAGGATCTCGTCGCGTGCGCATTGAAATACCTTCTTTCTATTTCTGTCTAGGGTTATTATGTACACAGTAGAATGAGTAGGAAAGACTATAGACATAATATGTAGTACGAAGTAAACAATAATATTTAAATTAAAGTTTTTCCCATTTTTTTGTCCTTTCTAAGTTAGTGATTGACTAAAGTTCGAATAATCTTTAACTCTCTGTATCATTTCAAATTAATAACTACTAGGTGACTCTACAGTTAAACATATGTACTTCAATAACCTCACACCATTGGTGTCTAATCACTGTAATCTCCACTATACTAGTTCCGAAACAGCCTCAAGATCGATCATCCCGTCCGACCAACTAATTATCGTTGTTATGCGCGGCGCGTCGCCTAGTCCGTTACGACCGCATTCCGCTCCGACCCTGCGCAGGCGCCGATTCAAATTCGTGGCTCAATTCCGCCATTGGGTCAGGTGGCGGGCCTGTTAACCTATTTTGGATGCTATAGAGGTCATTGAGAATAACGTAAGGTGTAGTAACATAGATTATTATTCTGTGCTAATAGTAGCATCATTATGTTTTAAGAATGGGATAGAAAGGAGTAGGATTCGCTCTTGAATTAACTCTTGGAAACGGATTCTTTGATTTGTAAGAGATGGTTCATTGACAAAGTAGTGAAATTACTACTTTGAGGCAGGCAGTTTGATTTGTGTTTATTACGACTCATAACTCATTGTTGGTAAAAAAAACAGGATTTGAAGGACTCGATTTTAAACTCGTACTTTACCTCAAAAAGAAACTATTGAGATAAGCTTTGATCTTTCTTAGACTTAATTGGTTGTAAAAATACTAACTTTTTTCCATCTTTTTGTATTCCTGAGAGTAAAATCGCCAAACCGTCTGATCAAATTCTCCATTTTTAATCATGAGAGGGTCATACTCTATTCTTGCAGTAGAGGTAGAGGCTGATATGATGAAGTGAAATAGAAAACTTGCTTAATAATAACTATCTTCCAAAAAGAAGTCAACGTCATCTATAAAAAGTGACGCACAAAATACGAATTCATTCACACCGCTAAGTTACTACAAGCTCGTAACAGCTTGATAACGGTTATCACATCATGGCCGATCGTTACTGCGCCCGCGCATTCCACTGCGCATCCGAGCTGCGCCTGTGGTTAGCCACGCGATTTTAGCCCTTATTGAAAGACTAATAGCGGCCGCCCGCGGCTTCGTACTCGTGGATCCCGTTTTACCCCCTTAGGGGTGGAGTTTCGTAAAATCCTCTCATAGCGGATGCCTACGTCATAACATCTAACTGCATGCCAAATTTCAGCCCGATCTGTCCAGTGGTTTGGGCTTTGCGTTGATAGATCACTATGTCAGTCAGTCAGTCACCTTTGAGTTAAATATATTTAGATTAAAATGTTATCCCCCTGACTGATTGAAAAAAGAAACATCATTTGTACAGGATTGATTTGAGGATAGTTTCGAAGTTTCTCAATAATGTAGAACTTTGTATTGTAGATAACTGCATGAAATGCATCAAGTATCCTTAGGCCAAGTCAGCAGTAATACAGGAAAAGTCACCTTATTACTGCTGACTTTAAAAACTCTACATTTAAAAAAGAAATTCAAACTATTGTTCAGTTCAGTTTTAATAGAAGATGGATGTGGCTTTGAGCGCTTAGAATTGAACCAGACCATTTTCTTGGAACTTATAGGATAGATTTTTCCGTTACGTATTTATTTGAAATTGGTATTGTACATCCGCTGTAAAACCAATACGCGTAGTTTATCCAGCTATGTTTTGTTTATTAAAGCTAGGTCAGGTACTTTGAAGATATTGAAGATGAAGATTTTTATCCCACCCTTTTCTTCTTTGCGGTCCAGTGCATTTTTGAGAACTAAATGAATTCTAAAACTACATAGCTAGTGACCTTCAATGAAACATCCGATCTATCACTAGCATCCCTGCGCTGGGCGGCATTCCTCCGAGATCTAAAGAGTGCCGTTACTCCCTCCTCCCTGCCTCCTCACTGACACAGATCCGGAACAAACGAAAGGAAAACAGAAGCCGCCGCCTTTGGGAGAAGTGGCGGTGTTTTGTCTTGAATACAGCCATTGTTAGCAATTCTTAAACTAAGTACCTCCAGCGATAAGTACCTACTAAAAAGTTGCTCAGAATGAAACTAAATTGTAGAAAAAAGAAACAATTAGGTACATTTAATTGCATTCGGCCGCTATATCACTTTGACAAGCTTAAAAATTAAGAATGAGTGTTTTTTTGACTTTCCTTAACTTTTTATCCTACTCATCCTTACCTATAAGTACAGACTTCATTAATTGTAATTTCAATTTGTCTTAAATTAACACTCTATCGCCTCAAAACACCACATTTCATAGCCCGATTATGAAGCTCAAAAAAACGTTCATTCACACCAAAACCTAAACTATTTCGCTTTGTAAATTTGACATGTCCAATACTACAAACCGGCTTGCGCTCGCGCCGCGGTACCGTTACCGATGACCTAACGCGGAGTAGGAGAAATCGCGCCGAAAACGAAAGTGCGCGCACTAGACTGAAGGCTAAAGCTGCGCAGGAGCGTGTGCTGCCTACAGGTGCTGTGAGTGGCCCGGTTAAAGGCAGCAAGAAAACTAAGGTTTAGAAGGAGCGTGTAAGCTACTAGTAGCCTGACCCGGAAGCTAGGAAACTAACTCAAAGAGTATTATACTGTGCCAAAGGCTACGGCTGCGCAGGAGCGTGTGCTGCCTACAGGTGCTGTGGCCCGGTTAAAGGAAACTAGACAAGTAACTAAAAACTCAGAATAAGTACTAGTACGAGTACTTTTCTAAAGGCTGGGCTTCGAAGGAGCGCGTGTGCTGCCTACAGGTGCTGTGAGTGGCCCGGTTAGAGGAAGCTAGAAAACTAAGGTTTAGAAGGAGCGTGTGAGCTACTAGTAGCCTGACCCGGTTATGAGAAGCTAGGAAACTAACAAAAAACTCAGAATAAGTATTAGTACGAGTACTTAGCTAAAGGCTGCGCAGGAGCGCGTGTGCTGCCTACAGGTGCTGTGAATGGTCCGGTTAAAGGCGCTTAAAGGAAGCTAGAAAACTAGGCTTCGAAGGAGAATATACTACTTTACAGGCTCCTGTCAATTGCCGGGTTAAACGAAACTAGGAAACTAAATAGTCTTACAGATAGCGACAAGAACCGATTGAATTATGTGGTTATTTCTTTAGTGTCTATTTTGTGTAGTGTACAGTAATGTATATCAAAAGTGGCACCAAATGGTTCGTGTAATATTACACTTGGCGCTAGCTAGCCAGTTCCTTTACTTGAACTTGGCTTGATACGCTGCCGCTTGTCTAGATGATGATAACAAGTACCTACATGCGACTATTATAATAGTCGCTCGATAAAGAGTTTTCAAACAGATTATTTTAAAGGATTTTCAATACCTAAGCTTTAACGTCCGTAATCACAAACATTACTATGAGGTCTCACAGTGCGCGTGGACGCACAGGGTGACACATGAACCAATCACAGAGCTCTATTCAACGCTGTACGTTCGATTTGCTGCTTCACTAAAGCAAGCATCGTTTGTAAATGTGTTACTCTATAGTTCATTTAAAAAAAAGTTGGTAACTTTAGACTTAAAAAATAAATTAAAGCCCTTAGTTTTAGCTTAACACAATTATTTTAATAAATCCGTCTTAATGATGTGCTTTGTTTTATATCCGTAATATACGAGTATGTTAATTTTAACTACAGATACTAGGTTAGGTTCATTAGAGTTTATGTCTTGTATAATAATATCAAGTGAGTGTGCATGTGTGTATGCAAATATACTCGTCCATGTTTATTGAATGTAAGTAATTTGTATAATTGGCGTGTAGTTATTTTAAAACGATTACCATATGCAATGTAAAATACAAACTTTCAGTTTTATAACCATTTAATAACAGCAATAATATCTGAAAGAAGAAATTTATGCGTCATAAATGTCGTGATTCAACCACGATAATATCTCGTTTGGATTATGCGAGGCGAATTTATATTTACATTGCGACCTTTCTAG